TTAAAATTCTACTCATCTACAACTATTCTAACTCATGATCATGTGTATTTCCATAGGTCTTACGGCTAGTCAATTGATTTTATTTCATTTTTTCTTTTGCCTTTTGTGGAAAAACAACCCATGGGCGATTTTTGCTTGTTCCCCTCCCATTTTCAAGTAATTTGGCTCAAATTTTTGGGGTTGCGTTTCCTTTTGAATCCTGCCTCAGATTTGTATAAAAGATTTGTGGATCAAAGCTCCAAAGCAAAGTAATTAGAGGTACAAATTTCGGTATTTGTCTTTTTTTTCTTTATTGATTTTAATAATCATCTCTTGTATGATTTCTCCCTTGTTTCCCGCCTAATGTCAGCAGAATTTGTTTCAGATCTTTTGTTCTCATCCCTCTTATCATACCTGCCTCTCTATCTTTTGAAAATCCATCCTTCTTAAATATCTGAGATTTTGATTTTAAAATCAAGACTTCCTAAAATTTAAATTTGAAACTGAAATTCTTTAAAGACTTTAAAGTCCGAGGAATTTGAAATATGAATAATTCCCCTTGATTTTAATCTCAAACTTTAAAACATCTAGGTTTTCAAACTTTTTAATATCTTATGCAGACATCTTCATATTTGAATCTTTTGATGTCACAAACAAGTGTATAAGAACAAGCCTTGGGACAGGTATTCTGCCTTAGCTCGAAGGGAGTTACTCGGTCGAGTTTGAGTGGACTTGTCCGAATCCTAAAGTGGAGCTAAAAGCCTAAAAAAGTTTTGAAAAAAATCAGAAAAATATCAAATAAGCACAATTTTTTTGGGAATGGGATTGGAGCATCGGTAGTTAGGGGCGCTGGTGCACTAATCTAACGTCCTACGGTCCATTCACACTTTTAGCATATCAAAAAAAATAAGGGATTTTTTTTTTGTTTTGTTTTGATAAAGACCGTGAATTTTTTTCATAAAAAACAAAATTATTTGCATTAGCGAAATTCACGTCTTACTTCGAAATTAATATTGTAATGTTGTGAAAATTTTAAGGAAATTTGTCAAAATACGCATAAGAGATGAAATATTTAACATTTTGCCCAATTGCAACTGTTCTAAGTCATGACCATGCATATTTCTATAGGTATTTTGAAATTGGATCAAAAGACATGAATAAAATATTAAATTGTTTTTCTCATAGGTAATTTGATAATTTTCCATTTTAAATATTCCATTTCTTAATGATTAACTTACTTATAAGCAACCTTCAATTAAAATGCACCACAATGTGGCGAGGTAACGCCCCAAATTTCACTAAAAAATATTTTGTAGAAAAAAAATAAAGAGAAATTTATCAAAATACCTATGAAAGGCTAACTATTAACATCCTACTCATTTTTCATTTATGACTATTCCAATTCATGATCATGTATGTTTCTATAGGTATACTGAAAGCAAATCAAAAGACAAAGATAAGGTGTTAAATTGCTTATCTGTTATGAGTAATTTAATAAATTTTTCAAAAATAAAAACTTAATATTTGACGTGAGAAAAACAATATCGCCTGTCCATTAAAATCGGACAGCTGCAAAGAGGGGTTACATATGCTTTACATGCATGTTGTAAAATATACATACATGGGAATACTTGCAAAAGCATAATGCAGGACTAGCAAAACAAATGAAGGCCTCCTACCAAGTAAAATTGTCTGTGAAGGTCGTTTTGTTAGTGGATTGATAATTTGCCCAATGAGTTTTTGTCTCATGAAAGAGTTTTCCACAAATATGTGTCTCATGCTTTATTTTTGTGGTTTGCTCGTTGCGCTGCCCTAGAATATAAATTGAAGCTTTTGTTCCTAACAATAACGCATTCATTTTTCTAGATGGGGAAGGTAAAGTAGAGCTTCTTCTTAGATATATAGTGTACCTGGAAATTGATGGAAATTTTTGTTTTGATGTGTGTGTGTGTTTTTATCTTCTCTTTGGGTGGAATTTTTTTGAGACCGGTACAATGCAGTAGTTATTCATATGGCAACAGAATTTTCATAACTCAAACCCTAGAGTTGCACAAGGAGTACATATGGTTATACATGTTTCAAGTAGAGCTTGTAACGGGCTGGGCCTGGAACAGGCCAGTGTTAGCCTCATCCTGGACCGGGCCAAAGGGGCACTAGCCCAAGCCCAACCCTAGCTCATTCTGGATTGGGCCGGGCCAGCCATGGTTTTTGATTACAGCCATGGTCTGGTCCTGGGCCTAGTCCTAGGTCCTTATTTTGTTGACCATGCGGATGTACTGAGCAACCTTTCTCGGACCTGACGCTCAGGCCATATTTTACTGACGACGCAGCTGGGCTGCGCCAACTAGCCCATTGTTTACCTAGTTCCATGACATCCATTTGGAATTGGTAAACTCTAAAACCAAACACGAATTTTAGTATTGTTATCAAATGGGGCAAATCAAATTTGGGAAGAATTATTTATGCAACATGGACCATGCTTTTTAGGCATGGCTCCTAATATTATTTAAATCACACGACTAACTCAAATATTATTTATTTTTTGCTGTCATTATTAAATAAGGGAATAGCTTTATTGTTGATGAAAATACCCCATGTATAAACCCACGATTCTCTTTTTACAAAATTGAGATAGCTTATCTCACTTAAAATTTTGAGGTCGTTGGGATATTTTTTTTTCTAAAAAATATGAGATGGTTTCTCTCTTTAAAAAATTTGAGATAGTTTATCTGTCTCAAAATTTTGAGATAGTATCTCCCTCTAAAAAGTTTAGAAATTCTTTCTTTCTCTCTAAAGACCTGAAATTTGAGATAATTTTTCTCTCTAAAAATTTTGAGTTATTTGTCTCCCTAAAATTTCAAATTTTAAAGTTTTTAGAGAGAGAATCATAGGTTATACATAGGGGTATTTTCACTTAAAACAAAACTATTTTCTTCATTGGGGGTGGTTGCAAAAATAAATACTAATTTTGTTAATTATATGATTTAAAAAGCAGAAAAATTTATAGATTACTCCAACACTGTTATTCTTGTAACCACCCTCTAAGTAGAAAAAATGATTTTTTATTTTTTTGTACTAAATACCTCAATTTTAACCCACATTGCTCTCCCAAAATGTGATGCCCAACATATGCTGGCCGGGCAAATGTGCTAGAGCGGTTTGTGATCTTCAAAATGTGCCAATTCAGCACATTTGTTGAACCTGCTTTTGACAAAATTTGTTGGTCTGGCTTTGGTACTAAAACTGTGCCGGTTCGGCACAAAAAAAAATGCCAAACTAGTTTATATTAAAATTGTATCGGTCCGGCGCAAATGTGTTGAACTGACTTTTGTATTCAAGTTTTGCCAGTTTGGCAGCTTAGAGAAACAGAATAAAAGTGTGATAAGAAAAAAAACACATGGGGATCAAATGGGATAATTTTGGTCCAAAAAAATTAATTTTTTATTAAAAAATGGGTACAAGAATAAACAATGTTCAGATTGATAATATGTATAAAAGGTTTTTTTTAGGTGCTTACGGGGGATAGTGAGGAACACTGGAATGCTTTGAAATTAGAGTCCACGGGTATATATAATTTTACTTGAAAACTTTGTAGGCATAAAGAGGCACAAGATAAACAAGATGCCTGCCATCTCTCCAAAGTTATTGCCATTTAGATTTTTTGCAAATGCTCATGTGGGTTCTTTATAATTTATATGAATCAAATCTCATTGTATCGGGGATAGTGATTTTAGGCTTATCCTTGCTCACTTGCTGTAGAGAGAGAGAGAAATCTAACTGAAATGGAGATAGTGATTTTAAACTTATCCTTGTTCATTTGCTGTATAGAGAGAAAGAGAATGATTGATGAGATCCAGTGCGACTATGACCCTATAAGATAATACAACTTATGTACAAGAGGTAGACCGGTGAAAGTTTCTTCAGCATATGAGTTTCTTCCTTAAAAAATATGGAAAAGTATATAACGAGAGGTGGCTACAATTAATCTTGACCATTGTGAAGTTGAGTGGCTGCATTTATTTTATTGACGAAGCTCAAAGTTCAAAGTAAATTTTTTCGAACTTTATGACACACTCAAGCTATTAGATTTTACATTGGATGGTTGTAAGTAATTGTGACCTCCCTGTATCAAAGGTAAATAGTCTCATTGTATACAATCTCAAAAATTATTGAGCTTTGAGTTTTATCCACTTAAAAATATCAACATGATAAAGTGAAAAGTTTATATAGAGCCGATGTTCTAAACAATCAAATTAGAGCCCAGCTCAAAAATTTCACTAGATCATCTCAACATCAAGATGCATAGACATGAGAAAAAAAAAAATTTCAAGTTAGTGCATCTTATAATGCATATTTGGACCGTCAATTTTCAAGATCTTCAAGTTTTTATAGATCTGCTCTATATACACTATTTTTAAAGCTTTAAATTTATATTTAGAGGTGAAAATATATTTTAAGGCTATCACAAAGATTTCCCATATTGAAACCATATTTCTCAATACTATTTGAAGGTGCGCTCTACTTTGATTGTTTAGAGCCTTAAACAATCAAATTAAGGCAAACCCCCAAAGTTTATCATAAGATGCAATTTTGGTGTCAAAAAATCTTTTGATGGCCTAACAATCTTATTTTATATTTAATTATAAATTTTTAAACTTCAAAATTGATTCAAATCAAGTAGATCTATAAGTACATAAAAATCATGAAAATGGAAGGTCCAAATAATATATTGTAAGATATACTATTTTTATGATTTAAAATCTTTTTTTTTTTCATATTCATATTTCACGATGTCGAGATGATCAATTAGAGGGTTTTCCAACATCAAAATAGCCTTTTATGATAGATTTTTAATGTGCACTTTATTTCTACATTTACGTTTTTTTTATTTTTTTACTATGTTTTTTTTTTTTAATTTAGTAAGATTGGTAAGCTCAGAAATAGTGGATAACTGGCTCAACCCACCCATCCTGATTCTTTAAATACAGAAGGGAGACGGATCATATCACTGAGAAATAGAATGATGAAACTCAAAGAGGCGCATCAATATCAGATACTACTTTATCTACAACAACCAGAGGCTTGAAGCCCAAGTTCAGTGAACCCTCCTTTCCGATTCGTATCTCTTCTTCTCATGAAAGCTACGTCTGCAGGAAAGTTGAAAAATAAGCACCAAAGTGCAACACTGTCGCTCCAACCTTAGGAAACCAGACTGGACGCTGTCTCCCCATACCCCAACTCTCTCTCTCTATCTCTCTCTCTAACGTACATTACACACAAAAGAATCTCAGTCTCTCTCTCTAAGTCTGAGCTATTGCATATAGTACGCACCCCAATATCCCTCTCTCCAGGATACTGTACACATCAGAAGACTCTCTCTCTCTAGCCCAATCTCTTTCTCTCTCTAGAGTATGGGCACAGAATACATAATACATAACGCATACGTCAGCCCATTAATAGGCTGCTGGCACAGTCCTCTGTGATGTCTCCTTCTCCTGCTAGGTCAAAATCCATACCCCCAAACTGATTGCTACAATTATCATCACTCTCTATCTTCTCCTTGAGTTTCCCACCAGGTCCATTGCATTCTAGACTGAGGCCCATGCTTCTCCACTCCTTTTGATCCTCCTCTTCTTCTTGCTCTTTTAATCCATAATCAAGTGGGTAATAAGTTAGTGTGGATGATGAGATTGAATTATTAAGGTTAGGAATATGACTAAGATTAGGGTTAGGAATATGATTAAGGCTAGGGTTAGGGTTAGGGTTAGGGTTGGGCATTTGGATTGATGGAAGCTTAGAGAGAAGAGATTCTAGGCTGGTCATTGAGGGTGCAATTAAGGTGGTTTGAGGAGAGAGAAAGTTAGGAGAGAAGGTTTGTTTTGGTGGGTTTGTGTTTGGTTGAGGAGAGAGAAGGGGGTAGAAGGCGGGACGGTTTTGCAGGTGAGATTGGCACGTGTGGGGGTGGGTTGTGTTGGTTTGGAGGTTGGTTGAAGGGTGAGGGAGTAAGACACCTGGTATACTGTGAAGATATGAGAACTTCTTCTTCAATATAGCTATGTAGTTCAGGTCCTCCATCACCTAAGAGAGAGAGAGAGGGTCATTAAGTAGTTCTAGAGAGAGAGGGAGAGAGGGGATCATGTAGTTTTAGAGAGAGGGAGAGAGATGATCATGAAGTAGTTTTTGAGAATTGAGAATATGAAGTGGTTTGTAAATGGGGTGGCAAAAAATTAGGAGAGTGTACCTTGAGAAGGGATCCTAGTTGAATTACTCCTTCCTTGACAGCAATTAGGGCAATTGTCTACACGCCAAGAAAATTGTGAAAGAGAAAGAAGTTAGTAGTGATATAAGAAATGCATGAGAGGGAAAAGAGTTATAAGTTCCTAGTGAGACAAGAAATGTATGGGAGCAAAGAGTTAAGTTTGAGTGAGACAAGAAATGTATGAGAGAGAAAAGTGTTAGAGAGAGAGTCATCAAATTTTTAGGGAAATGAGAAAAGTTATAGGACATGAAATGTTCAAACCTGAATTCCGGATTGGAATTGGGCTTCCCATATTCTAGGCTGCTGTAGTTAAGGAAAGAGGGAAAGAGAGTGATTAGATGGATATTACTTTTTTTAATTCTTGATTAGATGGATATTATAGCTTAAATATAGACAAATTTAGCATCAAATCAGGCTTTTTTTATCTATGAAAAGCTGGAAAAAGGGTATCTAATGAGTGATTAATCAGTCAATCACTTACTGGATCAACAAAAGTTTGCCATGGTGATATGGAGGCGGTTTCCTGGTCTTGGGGCTGCTCACGAAATATCCATTTATGGCTGTTGTCTGCTGCCACTTTTCCTATCAAACTTCACAGAGAACACACATTGCTCTTGAGAGAGAGAGAGAGAGAGAGAGAGAGAGAGAGAGAGAGAGAGAGAGAGAGAGAGAG